AAACGTAGAGGAGCGCGTGCGCGTTTCGAGCATGAAAACACGCTTGTAAGCTTCTATTTGCAATATTTACAGATGTGCGTGTGAAGAGCAATTGGCTGGCCATTGCTCGGCTTTCTCCTTCGCCATACAGTGCCATACACAACGTCACATGAAAGAAAACATGAGTCGGTGAAAGTCCGACGAATCAGTCTGGCACAGTCTGGCACAGTCATGCTTTTCTTTTTGTGGAGTGGTCTATAGCGAAGATGACAGCACACACACACACACACACACACACACACACTCAAAAAGACACACACGGAATAATAGAAAAGAGAAAGACGGAGGAGTCGGGTACGAGTGGCCAACGTCGGGACATCTGAGTGAGGCGTGGTGCCGTCACCGCACTCTCCCAATGCTCTTCCCTACTGGCGTGATTCTACCGACCAACTGCGCGCCGCAGCATCGGAGCTGCGGGGAGCTGCTTTCCAATCTCCTTCTTTGGATTGAGAGATTCAGAAGCAGATTCCAATCGACGACGAATACTACCGTCATCCCCCGAACACAACGCACCCTCGTTCTGACTGTATCTGGCCGGAAACATACCTTGTATACTTTCCTTTTCAGTGTGCGTTATGTTCGGGGGAAGACGGTAGCGGACTTATATGAAGTGAACTTGAACGGAGGCTGCGATGCGTGTAGTAATGTCTTTGGGAATTGGTCAGGGGCTCCGCGTGTTTATTCTCTGCTTATTGGTGTGGGAATTTGCGCGTTTCAGCTGAGAATTGTCCATACGGGAGTGAAGTGAATTTTTTCATTCCCTGTACGAGAAGCAGTCAATGGCCTCTGTTTGTGTTGGGGTGCCCATATTTCAATTCCGCCTTGAGTTCGCGGTTGAATCGGCTGGAATTTCGACGCTGCGTGTTGTCCTTCCACTACAGGGAAATAGGAGAATGAACCTCAGGACTTGCTGTGCGCGTTTATACATTCATGTCTTATTCACTACTAATTAATTAATCTATAATATACTAATTATTTAATCTGTAACATAATATATTGGTAATGTTTACTTAATCAATGGGTGCGCACATTTCGATTCCGCCTTCGAGAAGTTCTCGGTGGAATCGCTTGGAATGTCGCCGCTGCGTGTTGTCCTTCCACCACAGGCAAATAGGAGAATTAACCTCGGGACTTACCCAGCGCCTTTATATATTCGCGTCTTATAAATTACTAATTAATTAATCTGTAATATACTCATTAATTAATATATAATATATTCATTTAATTAATCTATAATATGTACGTAATGTTTACTCGATCAATGGGTGCACGTGTTTCAATTTCGCCTTGAGTTCTCGTTGGAATCGCTTGGAATGTCGCCGCTGCATGTTGTCATTCCACCACAGGGAAATAGGAGAATGAACCTCGGACTTACACTGCGCGTTTATTATATTCATGTCTTATTAATTAGTAATTAATCTATATTAAGATATTGGTAGTAATCTTTACGTCCCCCGTCTTGATTTAGTAAAAAATATGAATATATTAATATCTTTTTTTTTATTTATTTATCTATGATATTTTGACATAACATTATGTTGGCATGATATTCTGCATATCAGCACGCATTTCTCTCACATTCGTTTCTAACCGGTTTGTGTGCACGCCTGCTGCTTGTCTAGTCTACAAAACGTAGGGTCTCCCGCCACCTCTCTTAAAACGCGAAAATTTGAGAGAGTGGCACCGCTCCTCCGCTTCCCATCAAAACTTCTGGCCCAAAAACGCTTCTAGAGCTGTCAGTAAATCAGCTTTGGGTCTTTGAGAGTACTCTCTACCATTTCGAGAGGCTCCCCGCCTGGGACTGCTTTTTTCTTTGCAGAGAAGTCTCTGGCTGAGACCTCCCACACACTTGGGAGTCGGGACCAACATGTTCGAGAGAGAAGACCGCCAGTTGGGGCCCCCAACTGTCACACACTCATCAGGAGGCTGAAACCTCTATACAGTCTTCAGGCTCTGCCTGTTTCGTTGGCGTTTCACACTCTTCAGGAGGCTGAAATCTCTTCAGCATGCAGAGTCCTCTAATCGAACATACTCGGTTTATATGTGTATATATCTGTTTGTGACGATATATATGCCGAATAAGAATACCAACTTCTTGGTGTCGAACAAGGCCATCTGCTGTGTATAGATATGTATCTGGGACTTTTTTTGATTTCTTTGCAGACAAGAATGTTTTGACATCCTGGTTGGTCTTGTCCCGTCGTTTGGCCTGTGTAGGACTGGGGCGGTGCTTGCATGTGGGACTTTTCATCTGGGATCTGTTTTGTTGCCCCCTGTTTTGTTTTATTTGGCTGTTCCCTTCCTCTTTTCTTTTCCTCTTTGCCGTTTGGCTGTGTGCAAGTAGGTCGATATGACACACGGGGGTGGGGGCGGCCGCCGCTCAACCTACATCCACCTGGGCGGCCTTGTAAGCAAGAGGTTCTGAACAGGGGGAGTTATAAGAAGAAGATAAAAAACTGAATTCATTTTTTCCTGTTTTTGTTTCTTTTTTCCTTTTTGTTTGCATTTGCGCTCTGATACTCTTGTACAAGTTTTTGTGCGCCTCTACCGTGTTCCCCCGAACACAACGCACCTTCATTCTCACTGTGGTCGGAAACATAGCTTGTATACTTTCCTTTTCAGGGTGCGTTATGTTCGGGGGAACACGGTAGTTGTTAAACAAAGTTGGGCTCGACAGATTTTATGTTTGATATTCTTTCTCATCCCTGCCACTCTTCCCCCATCGTTATGCTATTTCGGGGCGGTGGAGACGGGGTCACTGAGGGGGAAGGAAAGTTGAGGGTCCGATTTAGTCGTTTTTTTTCGTTTGTTTTTCCCCGTCTCAAGTTTCTCCTATCGACGGACATGAACACCATCTCCGTTTCGAACTCCAGCGAATCTTGGTAAAAACGTTTTTGTTTTGTAAAGGGCAACGGCCTTGGGATATCATCACGGTTTTTTTTTTTTTTTCCGCGGGGGAGTGGGACGCGCCACGCTTCGCTGCAGTGCAAGACGAAGGCAACGCTGGAAGGGTCGAGTAGGCAAGCCTACCCCTATGAACCCTTCGTAGGCCTGAAAAATTAATTTAATATCATGTGGCCCGATGGACCACGGATCAGATATTAAACTGATCAGAACAGATACTACACTTGATCTTACAATTTGGACGCTCAGGAACTCAGGGGTCTACAGGGGAGAAAGACTGACTCCGGCAATGGTAAGAGCTGAGGTCAAATTCGGAATAAAACAGACCATTTCAACTGAGTGGTCTTTCAAAGTCCAAAAAAAAGGATACACAGCGAAGGCACTAAGAACTTTCCATCAACATTGGGTTCGGTTCCCTGACTTGTTCAAAGTGCAACTGCCTCAGGGAGGCCATCCACAGATTGATTTTTCCGCTTTTTTTGTGGTTTGACAGTACTGTAGAATTTGTTGCTGAATGTTCTTTTGTTTAAGGCTTTTTTGTTTAAAGCTTTTTTGCTTTTTGTACATTGGGATATTTCATGGACTAGGTTCAATCCTGTCCATTCCACTTTATTTTGGTTACCTGCTGGATGTAGATTTTGCCAGGTCCCTTGCAGTGTAGCCTGCTGCAGTCTGCTGCAATGTTCTGTGTTTAGAATTGGTCGCAGTATATAGCACTGTTCTACCTTTTGCCTTTCTCCCTGTTTTTAGATAGGAATAGATGGCAGCTTTTTCTTTCTTTTTTCAGGGGACTTTGCGATTCCTGATATGGGCTCGGCCGGTGATGCCTCGCTCATAACCATGAACCGCCTGCATATATGTGAGGGACGCCGGGCCCGTTTCCCGGTTTTGTATAATAAACCATTTTCTATTTTATTTTTTTGGTGTAAAGGGCATCGGCCTTGGGATATCATCACCTTTTTTTTCCTTTTATTTTATGCTTTTCCCCGTCTCACCTTTTTTTTTTTTTGGTGGTGTAAAGGGCAACGGCCTTGAGATATCATCACGGTTTTTTTTTTTTTTTTTTTTTTTTTTTTTTTTTTCTTTTTTTTTTTTTTTTTTTTTTTGGGGGGGGGGGGGGGGGGGGAAATCATCATACAACTGACCGGGCCCGGGTAATTTAGACTGATTTATTCTGGTCATCTGATTGTATCTGGATTCGAACCTGAGTCCGTATTTCAAGTTGAGGTCATATGGGTGCACCGACTGAGCTATACCGTCTTCCCCCGAACATAACGCACCTTCATTATGGCTGCACCGGACCGGAAAGATAGCTTGCATACATTCATTATCAGGGTGCGTTATGTTCGGGGGAAGACGGTAGGACCGTTGGTTATCAGGGTCAACTTTGTACCCTTTTTCAGGGAACATCGCCCTGTGCCACACTGCCAGAAAGAAAAGACTGAACGGTGGGGCTTGCTGAATGGGACACATGGTTATTGTGTGGCTGCAGTTAATCGAACACCGTCAGTTGCGTCGGGTTATTTGTTGGCGAAGGGGGGAAAGTAAAAAGTTGGAGAGTGACCGAGAATAAGACACAGGGTCCGACCATCCTCCTCAGGAAACGGGAAAAATGGTGAGTGCACGCGCAGGCAAAACGTGGCAAGATACAATCCTTGCTATTCATAGCAGCGGATGCACCTTGCCACCTTCGTGGTGAAGATGCACTATCCATTTTTCTCGTTTCGTGAGTGCTGTGGCGAGGCCCATAACCGTGTTGACGCAAGTAGTAAACCGTTTCTCTTATCAGGACTCCACGTGCTACCGTACGACAATAATGGAGCTGACTGTGTAATTCCTTTCTACGCATATGCGTCTTTGTGTTTGTTTGTCTCTCTGTCTGTGCTTTCCCTCCCCCCCCGCCCTTCTGTTTGTGTGTGTGTGTGTGTGTGTGTGTGCGACTGGTGGTGGTGGTGTTGTGCTCTCTCTCTCTCTCTCTCTCTCTCTCTCTCTCTCTCTCTCTGTGTGTGTGTGTGTGTGTGCGCGACTGCTGGTGGTGGTGGTGTGGTTTACGGCAGGTTCGACGTCTTTCTGCGCTGCTCCGTGTGAAGTCAGAGTATTTGGACGGCCATCGAGAAGGGTCGCCGTTGTCGGGCGCTAACGGAGCGTCGGACCTGGGAGAGGTGGTCATACCGGTGACTGCAGCGATGACCGTAGCAGAGAACCTTGCGTTCGGCAGCAGCTGTAAAGGTAGAGAAGAGAAGCCGTCGTCCTCCTCTCCATTGTGTCTGCTGGGTAGGAACCAGATTGGGACACCCAGTTCCCTTGCGGAACTCGCGGACAGCGGCAGCGGAGCCAGTGGAATAGGAGCCTCGCTACACGTGTCTACCGGAGTGGTAGGAGGAGGACCCTCGGTCGTCCGGTGTGATAGCTGCAACAGCATCAAGCTTGAGAAAGATGTAAAGGACCACAAGGACACGTCGAGTACAAGCTCCCACAGCAGCGAAGTGCTAGACTTGGACGCTTCCCATTTAGAATGCTCTGCCACGACCGGAAGAGGAGGGAGGTACCTGTCTCACTCTCACAGCAACAGCACTCTCGACAGCTTGCTGAGCGCCTCGGACGACGACCCGCACAGTTTGTCCTTCTCTACGGACAATTCGGTAGAGACCATCATGGATGACCCCAGGGGCCCATTCGAAGGGGAGAGCGCGCCTCCAGTGGTGCCCTTCTTCATCTCCCCAGGGGAAGACATGGACATGCCATGGTGGGAGTGGCCTTGAGCTGCTGAAGCGTAGGCCCGCCAGCCTGTGTGCTCTCTCACTCACTTGCTCTCCACAACCCATTCTCGCTCTCCACCGTCTCCGGCGCCAGACGAAGAGGAGGATATGATAGAGTTTGTCCGATATAGTATCCGCCCGTCCGTCCATGTCCATCCATCCGGTTGGAAGTCATCACTGGCGGGGACAGATCTGTCCGCTCGTTCGAAGCCTCCCCCCCACCTCCCTCTCTCTCTCTCTCTTTTGGTGCGCTGTTGGAGTCTCGTTTCTCTCAATGAATAGTGAGACGCCGATGATCCAATGAGGCTGCATATGTAAGCGGCCATGATGGGCTAGACTAACGGAGACGAACGGAGACTGACGGAGACTAACGGGAGGAGGAGCGGAAGGGCACAAGTCCTGACGAGGAGGGGGTAAGGCATGATGATAATCGTTGACGAGGATGATAATTCCACATGAGGAAAAGATGACGAGGATCACGACAGTAGACTAAGGACAGAGGGCGAGGGTCACGGACGCTAAGCAGGCACGAGTAGGGAGAATCACCGGTCGAGATGAGGAGAAGGGATAAGGAGTGATTAAGTGCAGCCATAGGCGAGGAAGGGGTAAGCTGGAGCATAGATCCGGATGATGGGGGTTCGGATGAGAGAGGATCCTTGATTCACGGGTGAGGACGTGAGGGCTGTGAGGCTGTTGATTTTGTGGAAACGTCTTCTTCGTCAGACGGAGAGTAAACCCTGTCTTCACCCCAACACAGCGCACCCCCATTATGGCTGTACCGGAGGCGGGAAATTGGCTTGCATACGTTACTTATTAGGGTGCGGTGTGTTCGGGGGAAGACGGAAGTGGTCGTGAAGGCGGAACCTGTTAGCCGTGGTGCACAAGGAGAAAGAGAGTGATTTAAAGGACGGGCAGTGCGGCTGTCGGAGGTAGAGCGGAAGGAAGAGAGGAGGCAAGGGGGACAGCTTAATATGGGGGGAGAGAATTGGGTGCTCGGTGCGGCGCAACGGAAAATGTGGTAAGCTCGACTACTCGCTGGAGCAGCAATCGTTCATTCACGGTGTGCAAGGAGCGTTCATTCATGGTGTGCAAGGAGCTCCTTGCTTAAGGAGTCGTTGGGAGTGAATGGCGATAGTTGGCCTTGCCGCATTGGCAATGTGAATTGGCGCTCACCTTTATTGAGGGTGATATGGGCCACGGCAGCCAGCTTCGATGCCTGATATTGCATACGGAATTACGGGGGATATGCACTTGAGCTAGTCCTTTTAGCGCTGTGTTGCACAGTCCACCTGTCTGTCGGCACGCGATTACTCCCGTCCCAACATTCCCCGCCTCCTCCCTCATCTCCCTCTCCCTCACTCTCTCTTTCTCTCTCTTTCTCTCTCTCACACACACAGACACACACACACACACACACAGACACAAACCGACACACACAGACACACATAGGCACACACACACACACAGACAACACACAGACACAACGCACAAAAACGATCTCCGAAGGACAAGGAGAGCGCGTATTTCCACGCGTTTCCTTCTTCTTCTCGAAGACTCTCCCTAAGCAGGAGCAAACTTTGCTGATCGTGACAGCGATATGGGGTCTGAGAGCGAAACTGCGCGCTCCCCCCTCCCGTCTTTCCCATTTCTTGTATATGTTATTGGTGAAAAAGCCCGGGCTGCCTGGAACTCAGTCGCAGCAGATTATCATTCTTGGTCCGTTCTTTCTCTTGACTGTCGAGGAAACGAGAAGCCTGCACCTGCTTTCTCTTGACTGTCGAGGAAACGAGAAGCCTGCACCTGCACTTCTCTCAGGTGGCTTACGAGAGAATGGAGGGGATCACGATCTCAGTCATCGCCCAGTGTCCATAACGAAAGTGATAGCAGGGCTGGTAAATCCACAAAATCGATGAAGAGGAGGGAATAGACAGGCGTCTGCTGCCGTATTCGCATGGGCACATACAGTAGTGGCCGCGTAGAGCCAGTGTGAGGTTTCTGAATCGAGAGGGCGGAGGACGGACGGACGGACGGACGGACGAGTGGAGAAATTCTGACGTCGTCGAATGGGAATTGCAGGTGAGTTAGATATCGAATATTCATTCTTCGGTGATATCTCGATCCGCTTCTCTGTTGTTTTCTTTGATTCTGGAACGACGTTCTTGCTATCCGAAAGGCAAAACAGCTTCCGCGTCGACACGAGAGTCGCGGAGGAAAGCACACCGTCGTCGGCCGCGGAAGTGTTGTAGTAGCAGAGAAGCGGAAGGAGTAGGAGTTCTGTAGGTAGTAATGGCAGGTACATGTCTTCATTGTCGTTATCCTTGTGCTCCTCCTCGTCCTCCTCCTCCTCCTCCTCTTCCTCCTCGTCGACGTAGTAGTAGTAGTAGTAGTAGTAGTAGTAGTAGTAGTAGAGATTGTAGTGGGGGGTAGAATGAAAGGGGCACCATCCAGAAGAAGTGAAAAGGACCGTGCAAGAATCTTGCTCCCTCGGCCGCTGGATCGCTGTCGTTCTTATAGAGAGGCAGTGATTTGAGAGGTCGGCGTTGACGGCTGGGGAGGGGGAGAGAGTGGAAACCTGGCGACATTGGCCCGGTCGAGTACTGTTACTTGGTGCAACCTTACCCTTGTCTATTCCCTGTGGACCCTCATCTCTCTGCTCCCCGTGCGCGCCCCTTGGAATATTGCGCGCCCACTCAATTCGTCGAAACTTCCGAGTAGGAGTTTGTTTTCTGGATCGTCGGGAATGAAAGAAATCCCTTTATATTCTGACAAGCGCCTGTTAGTTGATCGTGCGTTTAATCTATAGCGACTCCCTGGCATCGTCATAATCTTGCGCTCACCTACACACGCACTTTCCGGGGCAATCTGCCATCTGCGGCAGCCGCCAGCAGCTGCTTGATACTCGTCCCGAAGCTGAGAAAGTAGCTGTGCAGAGACACAAACAAAACGGTGACGATCGTTATCATCGGCATAGCTTCAATCTCTCTTCAGAATCTCTATCGTCCCGACCTCATTGTCATCGACCGTCATCATCATTATCATCGTCATCGACGACATCCACTAGTACAGATTCCGAAAGCAGGATGTCATTCGATCGCCAGGAAAATCCACAACATTCAAAAGAACGAAAGAAAAAGAGAGAGAGAGAGAAACTGTGTGAGAGAGAGAGAGAGAGAGAAACTGAGAGAGAGAGAGAGGATAACGAGCTCCGTCCTAACGTCATTCCTCATGCGACTGCATTCATACTCGCCCGGCCGCGCCGTTTCCGCCAACGAGGCGGCCGATGAAGACCCCACACGACTTCGAGCGCACCCAGTAGGACTTTGTCGGCTGGCCGTAAATGCGACCGAATACGTTCACGAGAGTATAAACGTGAGCACGCCCTTACTCCATGGTGCACGTGGGGGTCCGATTTCAAACTATATATATTATATCCGTACCTTGGAGAGTGTAAAAGATCTGCGGAAAGTCACATTGATGTCCTTGTGTCCTTTTGCCGTTTGGAACGAGTCATACAACATGTCCCTTGTTTTGCCAGTGCTTCAACATGCACCTACGCTTCCTATGTCGATCTCATTGCTCCCCATTTTCCGTTCTCATTTTCCCTCCTCTCCTCTCCTTGTCGAAGAGTGTGAAATGACTTGCTACATACTAGGGGGTAGGTAGGGCGGATGTCTACGTTCCTGGGTACGGGGAAAGAACGCCAACTACCCGTGTCAATAACTGTGCTCCCCTCTCCTTGTTCCCTTAGTAGGCCCCTTACAGAAGAAGAGCGACGAACTCGGCGTGCTCGTTTCTCCTCCCAGAAGACGTTTGTGGGGATGCTCGCTTCGCCTCCGAGTCCTTCCTTTTGCGGTGCGGTCGCCGCATCATCAACACGCGCAGTGGTAGCTGCCTCTCTTTCTTGTCTTGTGTTGCCTACTCCGTGTCGCCGGGCGTGTCCGTGTTTTGTGCGTGTCTTGGGGGAGAGAGGTGGTGGGGTCTGTGGTTTTGGGTGGGTGGGTTCTCCTCTCCGGCGCGAGTCACACTTGTGCTTGGCGATGCACACTTCTCTTCACAGGCTCGTCCGAGCCATGAATCCGTCCCCCCATTTTCCCTACTCGTTCCTGAGCTTTCTGCCACCGCGAGCAAGGTCCCACTTGCGCAAATTAGGAGATTTCGGCCGTTGATCTTTGCTATCTACGGTCAGTTATTCTCTCTTAATAATTCGTGCGAGTGGGACCTTTCTTGCCCCGGACGAGGTGCTGCAGGACCGGGTCAGTAAGTGGTCCCACCACCGACGCTGGTCTTTGCTGCTGCCATCGACTTTCGTAACCGATGTACAGAAATGGACGATCTCGGTACGTGTGGACCCCACCACGAGGGTCTCCACGGCCCTATTTGCACACGAAACGCCAAACCGACACTCGACCAAGGGGCAGTGTCCTCTTTGTTTTTTGCTGTGAGCAGCGAGGCGATCCTCCCCCTTGCTAGAGAAGAAGCCACTCTGCTCTGAAGCCTATCCGCAGCCCCTCCGAGGTTGGGCTTCGGAATGCTCTACCGTAAAGCTCCTCCGTATCTGGGTGCCAGAGACAGACTTATTCTGCCCAGAGCATGCTCATAGTAGTGCTACCGCTCAGATTGAATCTGGTCGCCGTCAGGGTCCAGATGGATCTCCATTGAAGTCCATCATGCGTGACAATGCTGTGCTGACGGGAAACAAACCAAGTAGTCGGCCGTTTGGTAGGTTTTGGCGGCCGACTGGTCGTCGTAACGAGTCCTGGGGAGGCCTGCCTCTTACATACGCGGGGGCTAGGTCCCACTTTCAACTTGAAGTTGCGCGAATGAAGAGGTACTGACCGTAGATAGCAAAGATCAACGGCCGAAATCTCCTAATTTCCGCAAGTGGGACCTTGCCCAGGAAGGGATGTGAGTCACCACCACTCGTCATTTCATAAATCGAAGAAGGATCTAGTAGTCGGCTCTTTGCTTGCTTGCGGGTGGGCAGCGAAGAAGAGAGAGAGAGAGAGAGAGAGTCAAACCTCCATAATTTATTATCCAATTGCACCAGTTTTTTGTTTCTTTTTTGTTTCCTTTTTCTTTCTTTTTCAATTGATTGAAACATCTGCAGGGGGGGGGGGGGGCTGCTCGCCGTTCGGAGGTCGCGATGGAGCTGTCAGGAGCCTTTGCTTGCTCGAGGGGACACGAGAGCACTGCGACGGTTTTTCTGCAGCGTTGAATCGGCCGGTGGGTCTACTCGGGTGTCGACTATGGAATTCGCTGTGCATTTGGGGCTGGCGTAGTAGGAGTACACATTCTTTGCTGTCGACAGAGTTTGCCCGGATCGCGACTTGGGAGTGTGCTCGCATCGCTTCTGGCATCAAGAAGATGAAGTTTTCGCAAAAAATCTGAATGAGGGAGAAGGTAGTGCTGTTGGTCTGCATTTGAGTTTGAGATGCCAGAACCTCTCGTGTTACGTGGATGGATGGGTGGCGACAGTGCTTCGCTGGAAAAAAACTTCAACAAGTTTATATCTGACACATTCTCATTCTTTGGTCTTCCCACTTTCCTACTCCTGCTTTCCTTTTGGTTTTTCGCTTTATAAATTTCTGATGTGCCCTCTTTTGGAGCAGAGGGACGCGGAGCTATTGTACAGAACTAACATGATCATGATGATACCGTACCAGTTGTATCACCATAAATCATCCCGACATTTGTATCATCATAGAAGAGATGCTTAAGTGTAGTTGTCATTGTCCGTCGTCCTCGATTCTTCCTCTTGCTATCCTCCTCCTCCTCCTCCTTTTCTTCATTTTCCTCATGTTGCTCTTCTGCTTTGTCCTAATATGTGCTCTTGTCATCTCTGTGAATCTTGTCCTCGAGTTTCCTGTTCTACGTCTTGAAGTTCCTCTTCAAGTCTTTCTTTCTTTTGCCCCCCTCCTCCCCTCCTCCTCGCTCGTTGTTTTTTTTTTTTTTTTTTTTTTTTTTTTTTTTTTTTTTTTTTTTTTTTTCCGAGTGTTACAATTTTGATGCTGACTGAACATCCGTCATGAGACCCCACCAGTTCCCAGAAAAAAAAAAGAAAATATTTCTCCTAAAGCAGAAGTCCCCATGAATTGCGTAGTGGATCCGCTGCAGGCGGGCTGTGCATTGAAACTGTGGCGGCTTCTGCGTGTACGATCTATACAGCGAGAATACCCCGGCACACTGGTGGTTCTATTCTATTGCACGTTGTGCAGCACTGGACCCCCCCAAAAAAAAAAAAAAAAAAAAAAAAAAAAAAAAAAAAAAAAAANAAAAAAAAAAAAAAAAAAGGGTCAGTTATTGAGGTTCTATTCTATTGCAGGCAGTGGATTGAGGAGTACCGTACCCACTGTAGGAGAGGAGGACACTTGTGGTGAACTCTGAAAGGTCCTTGCCAAGCCGCACTCTTCCTGTTGCTGAGCCTCCTGAAGCCTCGAGATCCATTGAAAGCAACACTGGGTGATTGTGGCATAGAAATAGTGCAGCCCTCAGAATGGGCTCAGCAAGCCTTGGGATTTTTATAAACTATTGCTTTGGGTTCTTTGGGTTGTGGTTACCTCTTGAACAACGTTACGTTTGTTTTCAAGCGCAATTGGAAGAACTCTTAAGGGGGAAAGGAGAGAGGGATGTGAGGAGGAAGAGGACAGCTCAGGCGCTTTGTTGGGCCATCTGGTCGATGGGGAGGTAATACGTTCACGATGTAGCTATCTTCCAGATTCCTCCTATATCATGTAATAAGTGCTGATGGAGCTGGGTGCTGCAGGCAGAAGGGAACAACAGGTGTATTGTAGAGAATGCTGCCTTCGTCTTCAATTGCCCTGTCCATTTTTCGGGCCAATTGTCGGTATGCGGGACTCCCTCTCCTGCATAGCAACAACTTTCGGTATTCCGGCACTTGCTGGAAAGGAACACACCACTCAAACAATTAACTTACTCCGTGAGGTGGTTACATGGACGTAGAAGACACTGGAGGAGTTGTAGGTGGTCGGTCCCGTGAAGTGCAAACTCCCACCGAATGGCATGCAACTGTACAGTCTGTCATGTGAGTCTCCAGCCTCTTTTTTTTTTTTTTTTTTTTTTTTTTTTTTTTTTTTTTTTTTGTGAATGTGAGTCCGCAGCCTGGCCGAAGACCTTGGGACCTTTGCCGACTTTATGGACGTGCACTGAGCGAAATGATAACCAAGAAGGTCCAAAAGCACGCAACAGTGGGCGAAATGCTAACCAAGAAGCTATGGAAGCACACAGCCCCAGGCAGGAACAGCGAAGGCATATCGTCCCCGAGTAGTTAGAACACCACGGCGCCTGAGGGTAACCGCAACTTAACCTAAAGTCGCGGGGCTTAACAAGCCGGGACAATGATGAATGAACGGGCTACTAGAGGGAGTGAACAAGTTCTCATCCTCATCCGACTGGAAACGCTTGTACTATCTATTGTCTTCTCCAGCAGCCAATCTATGGGAGAGGTGCAGGTGGTTTCAACACCAGGTCAGCCTAGGGTAAACGTACAAAGTACTACAAACAGAAAAGATGATCCTCATGGTCTTCCCAGCAGCCTGAAATGGCACTCCTAACCGGTTCACACCAGCTTGATTTTTTTCTTTTTTTTTTAGCAGTGGCTTTATTACTCGTAAAATGATTTATTTTTTTATTTTTTTATTTTTTTTTTACAGAAAAAGGGGCCCTCAGGGCTTCATTATAAATCCTGGAATAGCACTGAGGCCGGGAATCCTCAACAAACAACCCGGAAAGAAGAGCAACACAGTACCACAGGCGAAGGGAAATGGCCGAAACCTGACTCTGCTGACCTCTGATTATATCCGCATCCCTGAAGGATGGAAACAGAACCTTCCATCATGGACTACAAAACTTCACAAGCCAAAAAAGAACAAAGGTAAGTAAGGCAACAACATTAAGGGCATACTCACACTGTGACCCCCAATACGCAAAATATGCGGATTTGGGAAGGGCCGATTTGAGGTTTTGGGCATGGTTCAGGTCACACTGCTGTGCCTTTTCAGATGGGACAAGGTCGCGGCCATCTGGAGAAATGGGGATTTGGTACTTGGCTGGTCACACGGCGACATCCACTTTTGTGATTTGCCAATTTTCAAAGACAAATGCAACAACTGAGAAAGGGCATTTGCGGTCACCTCCAGAGGTGGCTGCAAAATCACTTGCCCCGCGGCTTCCCAGGCAGCTGACAAATGGGCACTGGAATAGTACATTTCCGAATTTGGTAGATCCGTGTGACCGGCCTTTTACCCCTTCAAGTTTTTTTGGGATTCTGGGATTATAGGTCCCCGCGTGAGTATGCCCTAACAAAGGGATAAAACAAACAAAGCTAAGGAGAACCATTTGCCTATTCACTCCATGTCCTACCAGAGACCTAAATCTTGCCAAATAAAGAACCGAAACTACCGTCACCCCTAAAATGTTATTGAGGCCAGGTCCTCACAAAATCCCGGAAAGAAAACTGACGGGCTAGAATCGAAAGAAAAGGAAATAATGGTCTCTGTCCCGGAAGGAGCAGAGGAAAACAACCAAAGAAAATGCAAAAGCAAGAAACAGAGCTGTAAAGGGAAAGTCAGGGGATCCCTTACTCAGACCCTGGGGGAATCTAGAAGCATAACACTGCCTCAGCACGCCCCCCCACGGAACGCTCAGCCCACACCCCAAATCCACTTATCTGCCGTCCTACTGCGGACTAAACCAACCGACTGTTCAGGTTGTGGGCCCATGCAAGAGCCAAGGCGCCGGTGTGACGCGCAAACCTCACGCCCCTGCGCTGTTTTCCGTTCGGAGTGCTAAAGGTGCGAAAGAGAGGCCCCGAAAAACAGCAAGATGGGGTGTGCCAAGGATTTTTGGAAAATTGAGTGTGGGGACACAGACAAAACTGAAATCCCCCGTGTTGGTCTGATGAAGTGAGCAATCTGGTGGGGTTTGCGACGTGGGGAAGTTTTGAATTCAATCCAAAAGTACTGTCGAACTTCCCACCGGGCCACGGGTCGTCATTTGGAGTGGAAGGGAGCGGGCATGTGTTTAGTATCCCGTTTTCGCACTATCTCCCGGCGCTGCACGCTACACAATTCTGAATCCGACGTGGACGGTCTCAATCGCGTGGCCCTTTCCTTATACTAGTCCTCGTTCGGCGTTCGATAATGGAACCCCTTCGATTGGTAGTGATTGAAACGTTGGCAATCACTACACAAGGTGTTAGGCCAATGGGGTGCCACTGCCGACCACGGGATGACGATCAACTCCTTAAGGGTAGTAGTAGCGAGTACGGCGGGAAGTGCGTATCCACAATAACAAACCCGACGCCTACAAACCCAGAGCACCGATTTTCAGGAGGGAAATACTACTGCCCAGTGCCCACCGATCTTTGCGACGGCTTCTCGTATGTCCCACTCGCAGATTCGCGTCCTGTCCTCGTTATACGGAAAGGGGCGAATAGGGGCTACGTGAGGCTGGCGCATAGTCGGATTGAGCCCGTTAGTCCACATGACAAACAATCAGGAATATCTTAATCATTCATCGCGTGCATGTAATCCTAGCAATCCAATCGGAAAGGTCAGACACGAGAAACAAAGGGTTCTGAGAAAGAGAAAGGAAAGTTCATGTGTGGCGGGACACAACCATTATTTTTGTACTTGGATCATGCATCACATACTCGCAACTTTCCTTCGAGAATCACAAATCAAAGCATTCTTGCATCTCCAAATCCCAACAACATTGCCCCTGCTATCGACTCGCCCTAATCAAAACGGGTTTCGTACTCGTTCACTCTCATCTCCCGTGCATGCATTCACTGTGGAAGGTGCGAAAATTGACAATCATGCAATTTCCCAATAAGGTTGACGTCAAGGGAAGAATCCTTGGTGGTTGATACACGCGCATCCACCGTTCACAAGACAAAATCCAATAGCTTGGGGGACTACCCAGGAAACTAATGGAAGAGTTCCGAAAGAAACCATTTGAATACAATCAACACACTCATTCCATCACATGCCAATCTTTGGCTTATTACATAGAACCATCCACAATCGAAGGAAGAGAGAGAAGGAGGAATAAAGATCGGAGGAGAAATTACAAGAGATCGAGGAATGGAAGAAAGTTCGGCTTTACCGCCGCAAACTTACACCAAAGAATAGAGTCGCAACCAAGAGGCATACTCGCCATTAAATTCCAACACGACCCCGGGCCAGTCATACACTCAACTCAGATTACTTGTCCGCATTCTGACGCCGACGATCCCGGCCGTCGCGCATCATCCTCCACCACTGCGATTGTCACCTCGCTAACTTAGTCTCGACGTGGCTTGCCCGGATCCCACAGTCCGTCGTGGCAATATAGCGCACCGCCAGCCAGTCTACAGTCGGCTCGTCAGGACTTTCCGACTCGCACCGTACACATCACCTAGCCACTACTTCCCGGAAGCTGGCCGATGAGTTGAGAGAGAGCTTTGCGGGGGCGTCGGCGGAATTTAGAGTTGCGAGAAGGGAGAGAGATGCGGAGAAGGGTGAAGGGTGAGGCAGAGGAGGACATAGGAGAATTTGAAAGTGGCCGCCTATCGAAAGCCATGTTGATCCTCCTAACTCGACCTCAGCCAACCAGAATCGTCGTGCAGTAAGAGCTTACACGACGCTTCTCCTTGGTTAGGTGGGGAGAGAGAGAATCGACTGGGTTTTCGAGCGCGGATTTTAGAGCGGGAAGAGGAGGAGCGGGAAGGATAGCACGAAACGGGTCCAAGATTCAAATGATCAAGAAGGAGGAAGAAAAAAGGCGCGTGCTGAGGAAGAGGAGGGCAAAACAGTTACAGGAGGCGGGGGCGAGGAA